AAATTAACTATTCATTAATAAAGTTATAAGGGAGGAAGGCAACGTCAATTTTTGAGTAGATAGTTTTCTGAAAACTATAGTCATATTAATGCAATTATTTGAAAAACCTTTAAAATTCCAATTAAAGACATAAAGACACGTGTCACCCTCTGGTGGAAAACTCTACTTTTATATATAATATATAATATATATATATATATATATATATATATAAGATTAATAAAATCTTTAAAACAAATTCTAATATGACACGTCATATTTAAAAATAATAATAAAATAACATTACATACATATACTTAAATACACACATATATATGTTGAGGGGTAAATAAATACTATAAAAAAAAATCTTCAATTTGTACTAAATTGGAAAACTAATTCCTTGACGAATGTTCAGACAATGTAACTTAAGTGCATGCAGACGAAAAGTCAACATTAAAATCATGTTCCTTGAAAACCGAACACACATCAAAGTCCTTCTTCTTCCGGTCTCTCCACCGTTCGAGTGAAGCAAGCAAGAAACTCTTTGTTGCCCTCCGCCCCCTTTATGGGAGACTCGATCCATCCTTTGCTTTCCAGTCCAAACCCTTCAACGCCCTTCACTATCTTCTCAAGAACCTGAAATCCATACACAGAAACCATATATTATACATTCTCCATCGCCGAAGCCAGAGATGGATATGCTTATAACGATCGGATTCAGCCCGAGACAGAACGGTAATGCGAAAAATAAGAAACGCCCGTTTCTGTGTCGGTTTCAAAGAATTCGATGACGATTATAGGTGCAGAAGAAAGAAAAGATTCGAGAGCCACAAGAAGATCGAGAGATGATGCCTACCTCCTGGTGTACTTCAGGGTCTCTCACAATGCCTCCGCTCCCGACCTTGAGGGGAAGATGAAATTTCGAAGAAAAAGAATAGAATCACGCAAAATATTTATAGTTTTTTTTAAAAAAAGATTTTATAGAAGCGGAATCCGTAATGTAAGAGAAAGAAGATTTACCTGAGATCGACGAGCTTCAAACTGAGGTTTAACCAGAGTAACTAAAGTTGCTTCTTCTTTCATCACATTGATAACCGCTGGCATCACCTGCTCCAAAACTCAAATTCTTCAGCAATCGATTATATGAGCAGGAAAAAAAATGAAACGATCGCTCTAACATATACGTGCAGCCTCCGGGAATAATTGAAATAAAATCAAATTATGAAAATGACAAAACTAAAAGGGTCGGAAACTTGCCAAGAGAATGGAAATGAATGAGAGGTCGAGTGTCACTAAATCGACTTTTCGGGGAAGTCCCGGGAGATATCTCAGGTTCGTCCGTTCTATGACAGAAACCCTCTCATCCCGACGGATTTTATCAGCTACCTGTTAACAATCACTGACTAAATCGGTACAACAAGCTAAAACTCTGATTGTATTAACGGAAACTTGATAGAACAGTATTTAGCACCTGACCATAACCCACGTCCACTCCATAAACATGTGATGCGCCATATTGAAGCAAACAGTCGGTAAATCCACCAGTAGAAAGCCCTGAATCAAGCGCTACTTTTCCGGTGACATCAATACCGAGCTGCTCTATTGCAGCTTCCAATTTGTAGCCAGCTCTGTATTCGTGGAAAAAAACGGATATTAGCTGGGCAACGATGGAGTCACTGAGCTCGGATAAATTTGCAGAGGATGGGTTGTTTTCAGGGAGTAATCACCTACATACGTATTTCGGAACCTCGGCTGTGATCTCTATGACTGAACTGTTAGACACAGGTGTTCCAGCTTTACTCACTTTCTTTCCATCGACAAACACTTTGCCTGCATAGTATTCACACTAGAGACTAAGAAACACAGCCCCTCAACAATGTCTTATGGATATAAATACCGAAAAGATGAGAACTTGATGAATGAAATCACACGAATACCTTGTAGAATCCATGATTGTATAAGGGTTCGACTGTATTGCTCAAACCTTTCGACACAGACCTCATCCAACCTCCTTTTTCTGAAGTAACAACACAAATTCACCGAATTAAGCACAGGAAAGATGCGATCTCTGTAAGTTTATGTATTGTGAAGGACCTTACTTCTTCGGCAAATGAATCTTTCCTGGAGAAGAAGCAGCAAAACATCTGAAAGAAGGGCATTCTCCTGCTCTAACCCATCTTCCTGATACTAACATGTAAAGAACAAAAGGTCAAAAGACACGATAATAAACACCATGAAGCTAAAAAAATCAAATTTAGCTTCATGAAACCTAAGGTAAGCCCACGTAAAATGGTCCATCAATCACTCCATCTAGAGTTGACTGCACAGACAAAGTCGCCAACTTTTATACAACTCAATGCAAATTCCCATTCAAGAAGAAGCAAATCTCAACTTCACGCGGCCAGTTTCAAGACCTGAGCAATGCCCATAAGGCGTTCGTGGAAATTACTGAAAGAACAAAAGCTTCAAACCCTTTTTCATTGACGGAACGGAATGTTGTACGAAAATTCGACTTGAGGGAAGATTTTACAAGTGATTGCTCGTGTATACCCAGAGACATACCTGGAAAGCCAGGGTTGTGAGATTTGGACAAGAAATCGAGAACGGAGCTACTGAAACAACGCCATATCACAGGAGGCTTGAGAACATGAGAGCCCATCATCCCCTTTCGCTTCCTTCCGCTCTCCTTGGGCACGAGAAATCGAACGGAAGATTATACGAGTTCCTACTGAGACCTTATAATTATATGTTCATCTTCCTGCATAAAATTTCGGCCTCTCTCACTCACTATTCTCCTTGCCAAAGCGAGAGGAATAAACTTCTAGTTGAAGGAGAAGGTCAGGTAAGAGGTATTCGATATTTCTTTGTAGGTGTTTCTTTTTACAATTTAATTGTTCGCTATTTTACCCAAGTTCATCGATTTATAGCAAGTCCGAAAAGATTTATTTTGTTATTCGTTTAAACAGATATAAATATATGTATAATTTCGATAACCATGTAGATATACGGCTGAAACAATATTTCTATATAAATAAACAGAATTTAAAAAACTTTGTTTTGCAAAACGATATTTATACAACAACAATATTTCCTTAATCCCAAATTTATTTGGGATCGGCAATTGAATTTTTCTTTTCTATTTATTTCGGTGTAAAATGATATTTATCCAAAAAAAAAATTAATAGTCACTCTTTACCCACCTTTGAAAGGTACATAATTTAAATTTAAAATTTAAACAAAACACAAATACTTGATCGGAACTGAAACATAGTTTCTTATGTTTTTCGAGATTGGTATTAATGTATATCATTACATATCGTATTGTGAGTCCTCAGCATGTCAATGAATGAAGCTTTATTATTTCCAAACACGGAGATACAATGGGAAAGAATTGCACCTTGGCTACATGCATGCATACATACATACACACATACATACATATATGTATACATATATACACACTCTACGACCCGTAAAACTCAGCAGAGCAACAAGACAAAAAGCTCGTGGATGTCGGAACCTAACCGGTCTGATAAATGCCTCCGGAAGTTTCATGTACTCTCCTGCTCTTTTTCCGGGTAATGCCGAGCTTCGGTGCAGTGTATATTGTATTGAAGGAGAAAGGTTAAAACCTCGCGGACGGCCCTGGTGATTGTCGAAATGGGTCTACCCAACATTCGTCCTTCTTCACAGCGTTTCTCCACCGGGTTTTAAACGTCTCCAGTTCGGCGTAAGACCGCCTCCGGACCTACACGCAGAAATCTCGCGGTGAGAATGTGGGAGAGGAAAATGAATGGAGTTCCAATCTTGTTTCGGTCCCCAAACCGATCAGGAGCTCTTACCTCGGATCTACCTGAACTATGTTGTCTCTGATCGGAAATCTCGGCTTCTGTCTGCTCGTTCACAGTAACAAAGAATAGGCTTTAGCAAAGTGTCGAAGTGGAGATGGCTAAAGTGTTGTCATGTGCTTCAGTTTCTAACCTTGTTTTCAGCTGAACCTCCTAATGTAGGAAGGCCCATATGAAGCAAATACTCGGAATCTACGACGCCGATGTTTTTTGTCCGGTCTCCCTGTAAAACCGACATCCGAGTTATGGACATAAGGAGGAGGAAGAAGAAAACGGTAACTGGTTGTGGCCATGAAAATCACCTGAGAGCAATACCCGAGCTGGAAATCTATACCCCATCCATGGTTCAAATCGTTCTTGGATAACGTAACCGGAACAAAAAATAAAACGTTCGGTGCATTCGTACGGTGAGAAACTTTACTGTTTATACGACAACATAACAAGAAAACGGATAGTACAATACCTGGATCATATGCCATGTGCACCGCCAGGCCGCTTTCGAGAACACAGGAGCCATCATCTCAACAAATCTGCATTGTATCTTTTCTTACAGTTAATTTTCTCGAATCACTAGGACATGGAATGTGAATATAAGAACAGATAAAATGGACCCGTTAAGCTTTTAACGAGGAAGGAAAGAAAGAAATACCCCGTGCAAGGAGGTCCGGTGCTGTTCTCGTTGCATCTGGTTCGACCAATCACTTTGTATGTTCTCCTACTCCACACAGAAAAACACATTATACGAAATGTGAAGTTCATCATACCGGAAGTACGCAGTTTTAGCAAGTCGGGTGATGATATTGTTAACCCTAGATCCTAAACCCTAAACCCATCTTGAGGTTCTTTGTCTCGTGCCGTGATTTGATGTGAAGTTCATCACACCGAAAGTATGGAATTTTACCAAGTCGGGTGATGATAATCTAAACCCTAAATCCTAAATCCTAAAGCCTAACCCCATCTTGAGAGAGCTTACCTATGCACTCTTGATTTGTTTGTCTCGTGCCGTGATTTGATGTGAAGTTCATCTTACCGAAACTACGCAATTTTAGAGAGTCGGGTGATGATAATCTGAACCCTAAACACCGAATCCTAAATCTTAGAATCTAAACCCTAAATCCTAAATCTTAAACCATAAACCCATCTTGAGGGAACTTACCTATGCACTCTTGATTTGTTGTCTCGGGCCGTGATTTGATGGTGCAACTCCGACGAACGGGGATCAAGAGCAGGTTGTGATATTTCAAGTCCTTCCTCTCTAATAATCGAAAGATACCTGCAATTGCATTGATTATAAGGCAGAATATATAAGCTTCACATCTTTCACTAAATGACACTGCGCATTAGACTCCTTGTACGAATTTCTACCTCGTAGCATCAAAATGGTCGACACCGAGATCTTCATCCCATAGAAATATGTAAGAATATGACGAGACAATATCCGGGTGCAGAAACCGCTTTGCAAACCACCTTTGTTCACAGCATCAAAGTTTAAAACGGATAGAACTATACCGGCATTCTTGGTTACAAAATGAAAGGACAGTACCACTTGGTTTGGTTTATGGCAGAAACATGAAGAGCAGTTCCGCTCCATTCGAACTCTTTCCACTCATCCACGATCCCGTCGTAGTGAAACAGCATCACCACGAATTCGTTTGACGGAAACTGCCACGTTATTAGAGATGAAAAAGAGAGATTATTACATCAGACATGTCGGGCTAAATGCGCATTTCGGACCAACTTGTTACCTTCTTGACAATTTTGTTGACATTCTCCTTTTGTTTTATACCCGTCGCCATGGCCAGCAAGTTCATCTTTGGCTTCTGAGCAACGAAAAAGCCGATTGTTTCAGCGAAGAACGCCCAAGGAAAACATAGAAATCCCCGTGCAAAGAATAATACCTTCTTGCGGACAGTGCCCCACAACGGTCGCATTTCCAAGTCGGACGTATTTGCAACGATGCCTCTAGGTAGCGTCTCGCTTCCAAGAGGCCTGAATTCCGCCTGATTGCACGAGATGGACACTTGTAAGATGTCAATTTTCCGATAAACAATACGAGCAGAACTTTCGTTTAGGCGTATATGTACAGAAAACCGCGTGGTTTATCAGACAAACCTTGCACATTCTCAATGTTGCAAGATGAAGAGTAAATACCGAACTCCATCCCGAGGTGCCCTGAAACGTTAGACCCGATACTTACAATCAGATGGACCATAATGGCACTCTAAAACTTCCTCCGGCCATGGAAAGGGAAAGGCAAATCAAGAATTCATATAACGAAATGGAGCTTCAAGGGGCTGTTTTCCTTATTTAGCATAATGCAGGGACGATGTCAGGCTTTGGAAAGAATCTTACCTCCTTGTAGTCTATGGTGATAAATGCATTCCCTATGAAGAAAACTGTGGCAAGCAGAAACACAAAGGGTAATAACCGGCGAAGGGACGAGCTCTTCCTTCGTTCATTCATGTTTTGTGATCCCTGAGGGCAAGAAGATGAAGATGGAGAATTCGATTAGGACCGGATTCAAAACCTAAGTCACTCAACCCGACATCTTGACAGAGCCAATGGGATGCATATACACAGATGTTCTCTGTGTGTGTGTGTGTGTGTAGGCCGACACAAACACAACACAATGGCCATACAGATGAATGTATAGATGACGCAGGTACAGCAACAGCAACAACTGGTAAAAATGGAAACTTTGATCAACCGGAAATTCTGTAGTTACGCCAGTTTTAGTTTCAGATCATAAATTTCATTCAGTTTGTTGCAACCAAAGATCCCGACTTTTTCCAAGATCCTTAAAACCCAAACAGCAAAAATGGACAAAAATCGACAAAGATAACATAAACCCACCAAGATTTTCCGACACAGCAGCTCACGAGAAAAAGAAAACAGACAGGGGAGCGAAGGGAAGAAACATCTGTGAGAAGAAGAAGACGAAGAAGGAGAGGAAGAAGCAAAATCTTACAGAGCTCAAAATCTTAGGTTTCTTGTTCATCTTCAAGAACAATGGCGGTGACTACTGGTGAAGCTTATACGGAAAAGTGGTTCATAGCGGTGATCCCTTCCCACGTTTAAAGAAAAATAAAAATAAAATTAATTTATTGAGTTATTTCTCTCTCTCTCTCTCTCTCTCTCTCCGAAGTTGCTTCGGACCAGAAAAGGGACAAGCAGGACACAACTAGAGGTCAAGAAGTCAACTTTACGGGATTTTTTTTTCAATGTTAAGGTTTTGCAAAACAAAAAAAAATTCTATAGGCGGTGTAATTATAATTTATAAATATTAATTATTCGGTGAGATTCAAGAAGAGAATTAGCAAAACGCGGTGATTGCGTTAGTGATGGCACGAAAGATGCAACCTTTACGACAATCCCACGAGATATTCACACGAGACATCGCCCAGAACTTTTTTTTTTTAATTATATAGATTTCAAAACTATCCCAAATTGAAAAAAAAAAGTCTTGATATTTTGTACCAAAAACAAAGATATTTTTAAACTGTGCAACTTTCGAAAATTTGCACTTTTTTTATTCTCATTTGCCAAAAAAAAAAATTCTGGTTTTTTTGAAACTTTTTTTTTTATTTTAAAGTATTTTAAGAGTGAAGAGTGATTTTGCGCCTGAAAACAGCTGAAACCTCGACGGCGCTTATTATTAACTCTGACCCTTTCTTTCTGCAAGAGCTCAAGTACACTTCGATTCTTCATCTTCCCCATCTCTTTTTATTTATTTATTTTTATTAATTTTGATTTGTAGTTAAGGAACTGACCTTGCTTCTTGTAATCCGATGTTTTCCGTTTCTTGTTGTTGTCATCATCTGAGATTGTTAGATTTCACGCCCTTTCGAGTTCTTGCCGTTTCCTGGGCATGTATCTTTGTGTGATGCTCTGTTTTTGTCTGATGGTACTTCACATCGCATGTGTACTCCGACAAAAATCTCTGTTCGGTCACATAGATCTGGGAAATGTAAGAAAAAAATTGACAAATTTGGATAAAGGGTATGTCGAATTCATGGTTTGGCCTTCGATTATGCTCTTGTGACAGTGGATTTGAGCAACGGAGATGATTCCGGAGACGTGAAGCTTCACGAGTCGGAGATGGGAGGAGGCGAGACCTTGGAACCCTACGTGGGAATGGAGTTCGATTCCGAAGACGAGGCGAGGAATTTCTACGTAGATTACGCGAGAAGATTAGGGTTCGTGGTGCGGATGATGCAGAGGCGTCGATCGGGGATCGACGGAAGAACACTCGCTCGGAGACTCGGCTGTAACAAACAAGGGTTTTCTCCCAACAGTCAGAAAAGTGCACATCTTGGAGGAGAGAAGAGGCCGAGACACAGTTCTCGAGAAGGCTGCAAGGCCACGATCCTCGTGAAAATGGAGAAATCTGGGAAATGGGTCGTCACCAGATTCATCAAAGAGCACAACCATCCACTCTTCCTCACTGCTTCTCCATACAATACTGTTCTTGTACGTTTTGTATATGTGTGTATATATATATATGTGTGTGTATATATCCTGTGGTTTACTGAGTTTTCGAATCTGGCAGGCCGACAAAGACAAGCAGATCGAGGAGCTCGAGAGGGAGATCGGGCATCAGAATCAGTTGTGTGAAGCTTACAGAGACAGGTTGCTGAGTTTAATGAACAATGTTGAACAACACACAGAAGAGTTGTCTTCCAGAATCCGAGATATTGCAGAGAATGTTAAGAAAATTGAATCCGAATTGCAAATTCATAACATCCGTACATAGCCATTGTAGTGTAATGTAACCACATTCATTCATCTGTGTATTCAGTCTTGTGTTCACCTTCCTGATTCTACAAAAGGGCATGAACTAAGAGAAGAGTTATACAAGAAAGGTGACTAGACCTTTGTCTGTATACAAGTACTTCATCTTCTCTTCTTCTTAAGAAGTGAAGCGGCTCTCAGAAACATCCTATCAACTTCATCGAAATCTGGAGAGTCATCGTCATCTTCTTTTTCAACCTTCGATTTAGCGTTTCTTGACTCCGATGATATGCTACGCAAATGCTCCTCAAAGTCTTCGGGTTCTCGGTCGTGTACTGCTGGAAATTTCTCAAACTCTGTAAGAAAAAGTGGTCGATCAGCCTTTTCGGTTTCTGATTCTGAATCAGTTTCAAAAATATCTGAGAGATCTTCCGAATCCGTTGCCATTTTTGATTCAGCTTCTTCTCGGTCATCATCCTCCAAACCCTCTTCACTTCTTTCTATAATCTCCTTTACCCGCTCTGACCTCCGGACTGAACTCACAACCCGGCTGCTTTCTCGGGCATCAACTACAACATTAGGGTTATCTCGGTTGGTCTCAGCCTGTGCTCGACGCAACTGGAGTTCATGTTCAAGCCGGGGAATATACTTTCTGACAGCCCGAAGAGCATCCCGGCATTTGGATTTGTCCAGAGCCTTCTTCCGAGGGAGGGTAATCCTCGGCGACATAATCTCGGTAGGAGGCTGAACATAATTCTTCCCTCTGTACATAATTATGGTGTTCCCTTCATGGATGTCAAGAACTATTCCACCTGTTAATCTTGCTAAGTCAAAGGCAATTTCCTTCACCTCCTCTGGTGTGAATGTCTTGACCACGACCTGTACCGTCTGGTGCTTCTTCCAGTGCAGGTGCATGTTCAGGATCACTCCCTGATATATTCCCCGCCTTCCGACAGGAACGTAGTTCTTGCACTTCAAACCCATCTTCAGATAGTAGAAATGCTCCTCGGGTGTCAATATCTCGGGGTCATGCATTGTTTCTGCTGACTCTGCAGGTTCGAGTTTTTTCATCGTCTCCATAAGGCGTTCCTCTTTCTTCTGAGCCTGAGTACATTCGTAGAACCACAAACACAAAAAACGACGAGGAATATACGCTGTTAATACGCGAATTTCAGCAACAAGATACACTCGGAACTAAGGTTTTGTATCACCTTTCTAAGTTTGTAAAGTATCTTCTCTTCAGCAGTCATTCTTTCATATTCTTTCTTTTTCTTCCACCGGAAAAACTTGAGCCATCTCACAACCGCTCTCTTTCCC